TTACTAACCGGGAAAATTATTACCTTTGCCGCCACCCCCCTGACCCAAGACCCCTGTTACGCGCCTGCTTATAAGTGGGCCCCCCCCCCCACTTTGAAAAACGTTCCGCCGGCCCTGACTGACATTAATTGAAGCCAGGACCCTGTGATTGGAAGACAAGTATTATAACCACAAAGATATTAACGCCACTAATTAGTTACACTGGCTTGTGATTTCTGAATCGAATAATTGTCTTTAATTTTTGTGAATGTGCCTTTTTTAGAATCGGACGCAAGATCACCCTATTTATTTGCGTTGGGCTCGCATTTATTTTTGGAATTGCTACAGTGTTTGCACCTGGTTACTGGTGGTTCACAATTCTCAGAGCTCTCGTGGGATTTGCCAACATGGGTATTTTTCTGATAGCATTTATTATAGGTAAGTCTAATGCAATGTTATATTGCATTATTTATTTGTTTGTTTATTTGGGCTTGCCCTTTTACTTCAGCGGAACACTTTGAAAAACAAAGGTGCGTCCGAAAAACAAAAATTATACAAATGATTACAATATACATCAAAGAAACAAGAACTGCTAAAACTTAAAATTAACTCAACACAGCTTAAATTAATCCCTTTGTCCCTCCCTCCTTCCCTGAAAATTCAAATATAATCCCTCCCCATAAATGGAGCTGAACAAAACTTTACCCCTTATTTTCATGAAACAATATTCTAAGTACTCTTCTTCCCTCCCCTATTATAAATTAATCTGAATTAATAGTGTTGTCCTGTCGTTTTTCCAATTTCTATTTAACACAAAATTATGTTTCATTATTTTTTTCTATTTTATGTTAATTCGTCATGAAGGCAGAGATATAAATCAGGAATGCCAACAAATGGCATTTCTTTCTCAATATATAGCTAGTTGGTAAAGAATCTGAACAAGTCGCAGTACCATAATCTGCTCACTTAAAAATGTATACAGTAGTTTCTCAATAATTTGACATGAATTATTTATTATTAAATAATCACACTACAAATATGAAAAAAAACAACTATTTCTTTTTTGTAGTGTGAGTGCAATACAAAAATTTTACATTTCTTCATTATATTTTCAGGGACGGAACTAGTTGGTCCAAGTAAAAGAACATTTGCCGGCATTGTTATAGAATTCTATTTTGCATCTGGGTACATGATATTGGCTCTATTAGCGTTCCTAATCCGAGAGTGGAGATACCTCCAGCTTGCAATTACTTTGCCGTTGGTGTTATACTTTCTCATGATACCGTGAGTGTCATTTTCATTCCTTGATTTATCCTATATATTATTTTGTTTCCAGAGTGTTTTCAAAGCACACAGTAGATAATTCCAGGACCTAATTAACCTAATGATTGGGCATGGATTCCTAGAGTTTAATATGAAGTCAGGCTCCAGAGAAAAAAAAATTATATGTTGTACAACTGCTTTTTTTTTTTTTTTTTTTTGACGAAAGCATATTTGACGAAAAACCTTTGGGAACGGTTAATGAGATACTGATTATTTTTGAATATTTTAAAACTTTATCTCATATTAAACCGTTCCAGAGTTTTTCGTCAAATAATTAAAATAAATTTTGATGAATGAAAGAATAATTCCTTTACCTTGACCCTCTAAGAAATGCCAGAGTGTACATTATGGCGTAATTAGTTATTAAGTTTGCACGCTCGAGTGTGTTGAATTAGTGTTTACAGTGTGGACACACTGTGCAGACGGTGAAGATACAGTGCAGACATTATTGGCAGTAAACATTGGCAGCAACAAATTACAAAGCAATTGGAAAACTTTAAAAGCATTACAATTAATTTATCACATTAATAGAATTACAGCAACAATATCATTCAAATAAAAAAAAAACAAATGCAAATATATACTGGTATGGGCATTTATAATGTCCCTCTTCCTTTTTGTGGTTATAAAGCGCAGTTTTTCTTCCCTGGTCATTGTGTCCTCGCTTTAAGTGTTGTTGCTGGTAATCAGCGCAGGAGCAGGCAACTCCACCAGGAACTCATTTATACTCCTGGGTGGAGAAAAGCAATGAAGATAAAGTGCCTTGCTCAAAGGACACAAGCGATATGCACAGCGAGGGACCGACCTCGAGGTTGAGAAATCAACCGTTCGCGCTGCGCCAAACCGCATTCTTACTTTATTAAGAAAAAAAAAACTAACAATTCGAAGACACAGTACTGTAGATTATTTAAGGGAAACACAATGCAATTCTCATCATTCTGGAATTATTATAAAGAGCAAGCTGCAGCTTCCACTCTTCCAGACTCTTCTCGTCCACCACTGCGGTGACGTGGTTTGATGCTTAAAAAATAGACATTACTTGTCGTTTCTCTTATTCTCCATCAGTACTAAAATTCTGTAACCTTTTATGTAACGACAAGGCCTATCGATCACCAGGACCTTAACGGTGGATTATTCTTAATTAAAATAAAAATAATAAAATTTTTATATAATTTCGTGTTATTCCAAACAGGTCTATGACTTATTTTTTACAGTTGGTTTTTGCTATATTATCACTAGGCCTTGTTTGTGGCCAACTAACGTGTATGTTAACCGTTGGTTTATATTGCTCTCTTAATTTGTAGGTTTATTCCAGAATCAGTGAGGTGGCTTATTTCTAAAAACAGACTAGAAGAGGCTGAAAAGATTATCCGTGATTGTGCAGAGACTAACAAGGTTTACAACCTGCCAGACAAACTTTTTGAAGAAGGAACACGAAAAAACGTAAAACATAAAATTGATATACTTTTTATAGTCCTAAATACATTTTACGATGAGTAGAATGCCATAAATATCTGTTGGCGGATTTCGTAATGTTTGTTCTAGTTATTATTTTATATACCGGTAATTATAATCGATATTATTATTATTATTATTTATAATTATAATCAATATTATCATTATTATTTCTTATAACAATTGTATACGTATTATAATTTTTCATTAATACTTCCTAATTTGTATAATGACTTTAATATTTATTTTGTGTTATGAATTACTATTATCGTATTATTAGCTTTATTATTAACTTCTTTAACAAATATTTTTTTTAAACAAATATGTCATATAATTTTTTTCATGCTTGTATGTTTTATGTTTTTTTTTCCTTTAAAGGAAAAGGAGGATATTCAGATTAACTACACAATGATCGACTTGTTTCGAACGCCAAACATGAGACTGAAAACAATAAACGTTCTCTATAACTGGTAAGATAACTATGTAAACGGTATCATCACCGTTATCGTCGTCATCCTCATTGTTATCCTTACATCATTTTCAGATTCAAACATCAACATCACCATTAACATGATAGGCCTACAGCTTTATTTCATCTTTCACAGGAAGTTTACAGCCTCATCATCACCGTCACCATCATAATCAGCATCATCCCCAGCATCACGATTATGAAAGTAATATTTATTAGTTTTATTATGTTATTGTTAAAACTTGGTTGTTATTACTGTGAATATTTTATATTTTTGTTATCTCGTATAGGATGGTAAACAGTTTAGTGTACTACGGTCTCTCGTTGAGTGCTGCCGACATTGGTGGCAGGGATTATCTCGCATTCTTTTTATCTGGTTTGGTTGAAATCCCAGCCTACATTTCTTGCTTGTTTGCTATAGATCGATGGGGGCGCCGTGTTGTACTTTGTTTTTACATGGTACTAGGTGGTATTGCTTGCTTTGGGACAATATGGCTTCGTAAGTAATATTTTGCTAAATCACAGTAATATAACTTTAAGATAAACTAAGATAAACTAATAACCCAATTAAACTCAACACTGTTAAACTGTTAATAACTCCATTTTCTCACGACAACCAAATCCATTAAGAATTTAGAGAGCATCATTTATTTGTATATCTCCCTATATATAGATAATTTAAACATCTTAACTATATTTTGCTATCATTTAAAATCGATTTAATCATTTAACCAGCTGAGGGAGTGTGGCGCACCACCGTCTCGTTAATCGGTAAATTTGGAATTGCAGCTTCGTTTGCAATAATCTATATTTTTTCTGCTGAGCTCTTTCCTACGCCTGTAAGGTAAGATTTTGTTTCACAAGATCAATATTAGGCCCTATGTACGTTTATATAATACGTTTGTGTATCGAGTGTCTGTTCATCAGTGGCGTATCTAGGGGAGGGTACGGAGGCGCA